TATGTACTTAAACCCTCAAAAAAATCTAAGCGAGCGGTATAAGGAATGTGCGAATAATATTACACACAAATTATTAATAATTATAAATCATAGCCAGTCATTATTTACAAAATTCAAATTGACTGGCCATTAGTGAAAATTTTGCACTAGTAATGTAAGAATCACTCAAATCTTATTTACAGAATTATATATTACTTATTTCACATTATTATTTTTGTTTAATTTTTAAACTCAAAAAGCGAAACAAAAAAATTTATTCAAAAACATTTACACAAAACCGATCTATATTAGTAAAATTATTATCGAATGCTTCAACCAACAGTGTTCGCATAGTCTGGAACTTTTACGTGTAACGGATTAAGACATAATTAATACTTTGATTAGCTAGTCGTTTCCAGAGCGGTAACAGCGCTAACTCTGGGAGTTTAGCCTGTGTTTAATTTTCATGCGGGAGCATTTCCGTGGTTTTCCCCACGTGTAAATCAATACTAGCCCGTTTCCCTTAAAAAGTCTTCCAAGGAAGCAACCGTTCCCTTACTCAGATGGAATTTGTGTTCTTTGCTATAAAGCAAATAACATTAGCCAGGGTCGTCCACTTTTCAAGCTGATGCCTTGCCTTTCAATTTGCATTTTAATCACCACAAATTCAAAACAATAAACATAAAATTATTTAAGTCTGAATTAACCTACATAATTATTCTCTCTTACGAATATTTAATGCAGTTCAAAAGACTGGAGGGAAAGTGTACCATATATCAGTTGGTTGTTATTTTTTTCGAATAAAGTTTACTATTAAATGAGACTTGGTTGAGACTACTATTAAATGAGACTTGGTTGAGACTACTATTAAATGAGACTTGGTTGAGACTACTATTAAATGAGACTTGGTTGACACTACTATTAAATGAGACTTGGTTTACTATTGAAGGAGATGTGGTTGAAGTCTGATTCATATTTAATTCATCTTCGGACATGTACTGTTACACATATGATTATTGCCCGAAACTTATATAACTGTTTTTGTAAACAAATCGCAACCTAGTTAAATTTTCTCCCAATATTGGTGTACTCTTGTATAGACTGTAAATAGCAGACTATGAAATGTAACTTCAGGTGTAAAATAAATATATAAATAAAATAAAGAATAGCTGTGCATCACCAGATTTGCAATAGAAGCTATTCTATTGACATTTTATCAAATGTAACTAATTAAATTTTATCAAATGTAACTAATTAAATTTTATCAAATGTAACCAATTAAAAGTCAAAATTGTAAATTGCTAATATTTCTGCGTTTGTAAAATATTAGTTAAAATTATATCAAGATTTTCAGAAATGGTAATTTCTTTTGAAGAGCCATTATAAATTGTAGTTGAAGAATCAATACACATAAATACCTGGAAAAAATTAAATTACTGTCATGAGAAAAGACAAAGTAAGATATGCCTTTTCCTCTTCCGAATTGTTCTGTTGTTTATGTAAAGAAATAACATAAAATGTTTAACAGCAACGAGCGAGAAGGGGAAAAAAGCTTTGAAATTTATTATGAAAAACGTACGATAAATGCCGTAGCTAATTATAAGATAATTGATTAAAACAAAATAAAAAATCTAAACGCTTTCTGATTTTATTACGCCCAAAGGGGTAGTTCTGCCATTTACACATACATGCACATTTCAAGAGCATTTGGGCTAATGGCCCTTTGGGCTAAAAATATTTATAAACAGCATATCTTTAGAATTTCCGATAGGCAGTTCCGCGCGCTGAAGATAAAAATGCTTTATTCCATACAGTGTTGCCACTGCTCGCAATACAACCAGTAGCTATACTTTAAACTACTAAAAACGTTAAAATACAACGCATTTCAAAACGAAAGCTAATTCAGTTCGCGAGGAACTAAAACAAATCGCAAATGAGCAAATAAGAAAATGAGCTGAGATGTCTCTCGCCGTCTTTTTATAGCTTTTAATCGGTCGCGAGATATTTCTGGTAATTTGTTTGCTTCTCAAAATTTCTGTAAAGCAAAAGAGTAGAATTACTGTATTGTAATACTATAGTAGATTATATTTTATATTACGTCTTTTGTTCCAATTTCATAAATTATTAAAATATTTTATTATAACATTCGTTAATTATTTTATATTTGTTCATACAAAATTGTTTATATTTTTATAGTTTATGTATTTTTTATATAAAACTAATAAATATGGCAAAGACTAATAAATATGTATCTTTTTGGCAAAACTTTCTAATACCAGTATTCGGGTAGAACACTTAAAAAATGTCGAACACTATTGATATGTTTTTTTTTGGGTCCGGTACTTCAATCACTAGCACCAAACCATTGATGATGATGCAGCGAAAGTTGTAAATTACTTTTTTCCTTTTTCGTTTTGGCATTTTTTGCACCTATCATGCAGTTTGCTAATGTGCTTATGTTATTTGTGTTTCTAAATATGATTCGTTTCGAACTGAATATGGAATGGATTTTAAACGTGTTATTTTAATTTATTTTGCATTATTACCACAACCTTGTTGCAGACTTCAGAGCGCAATTAGATTAGTTTTTGATCTTATTTAAATAATTATCCTAATATATATATTATATAGATATATAATGTAATAATAAAATCATAGTCAAAATACACTTAAAATTCTAACTGTATGTTCTTTCATTTTTTAATGGCGACGGTCTTATTTTGAAAGTACGTGGAATTAACCCCACAGCTCCGTAGTCAAGTTGGTTTTCCCACCTTTTCTACACGTACAGTTATGTTCTGGAGATATTTAAGCGAACTGGAATGGTTGACGAGGCTGACGTCATTTCTTGGAAGCTCCGCCTTTCAGAGGCTATAAAAGGACTCACAAAGGAATATCGGGGTATTTTCTTTAATGTAATGATGCAGTAAATTCATACAAAGTTATTAGTAATTCTTTTTTATTACTCCGGAAATATGGATTTTTGTAACTGCTATTCTCCTGACCAATAATAAATGGATCCTTTGTTTTTTTAAACTTATCGTCTGATAATTTAAGCTACGACTACATCTATATTTTTCACCAATCTATTTATTCCGGACAGAAGCTGGTACATCACACACACACACCACACACACACACATATATATATATATATAATATATAACATATATATATAGATAGATAGATAGATAGATATTATTAGATATATATCCCTCTAAGTGCGACTTTAAAATACTTTCAGTTTTTTTTTCTTATAACATAAGTTTGTTACCCAATATTTGCAAAACAGAGCAAATAATAAATACACAATAATGTATTTGTCACTTAGCTTTAAAAACATTTAGTTGTGTTGCTGCCATTACAGTTTTTTAGTATAGGAGAAATGTATAACCAATATTAAGTTAAAACTGAATTTAACACCAACTACTAAGTCAAACTAAATTTAAACTTCGTTTTCTTTCTTTTGACAAAAAAAAGGATAAGTTAAAAAATAATATCCACATTTTTTTGCTATTTCCTGTACATTTATTGGCCTTTTTATTTCCTAAGATGATATTTAGTAAAAACATTTAGAAAGTTAAACCTTTGTTCTCTCTTCCAGATGAAATAAAATTAAAATTCAACAATTTTAGTCAAAATTTTTGTCGACCTAAATCATGAATGCATTATGTCTTGGAGTTTTTGGGCGCAAGAGCCATACAGAAATGTCTCAAAGATCGCCCTGAGCGGTAGCTTAACAGCCCGAAATAAGCCTATACATTTAACACATACAGAAATTTTATATTTATTAATAACAACAATATAACACATATTGCTATTGTGTATGAAAAACCTACTTAACCAAAAAGATATTTAGTAAAGAAAAAACTAAAATAAAATTCTTAAAGCGAATATTGAGTTTGTATTTTACATAGCATTGCATCTATATCTAGATTGCTGGACGTGGTAGACGTGCAAAGAGTATATAAAAATAGTAATCTGCATATTTTGTTCTTATTTTAAGTTTTGTATGCTTCATATCGGAAAACAAGGTGCCAGCGAGTATGAGTATTATTTAAAAAAGACGACATTACATAGAAATAGTTGTGAAGCGTTGAAAACTTTTATTTAAATGGGTACAGTTTACATTAAAAGTTTATTCGAATTAATTTCCTGCGTTGCGTATCTAATTTAAACTCTGATTAAATTTAATAGTGAACTTTCGAGTTCGCTGGTAAATCTGATGTTAGCTAAGAATGGAACAACATATATGTTAAAATGTTTTTCATATCTTCAGAAGTCTTAAAATGTATCATCAACACGTCTTTTTGTAAAACTGTAAAAGTCCCTCATAGTTGTCGTTGTAAATATTACATTACTGTTATAGAGCTCCATAGTTGTAGTTGACTATGTAGTTACTTTTAAAATGAGATTTCAGTTTTTTCTATTGTTGAAATTCTTTGAAATATCTTTTATTAATCGCTTTTGAATTAAAAATGCATATTCGGTTCGTATAAGTAAATCGTATGCAGTCTAAATTATCTAACTGGTTAACATTTGAAAAATCAACGAGATATACACTCATCTTCTGGTTCATTTTTTTGATTCGATACAGGACGCATCAGCGGCTTATGATAAATAGGGGGTGACATATGACTTAGGAACTGCAGTACAGTACCCTCTTTATGTACGAGGGGGGGGGAGCTCGCGAACATAGGAACACACATTTTGACAAATGTATTGATTTTCTTGAGAGAATAGACAAATATCTAGGAATAATACAAAAACTTGGAGGGCTTATGATTTTTTAAGAGGGTTTTGCCTCAAATTGGATACCTGTGTTCTAAAATACTGTCAAAAAATGAAATATCAAATCCTTTTTTTACCACTTCAATTTCATAATTTCCAGCGTTTTTAATAATGGAGTATTTCAATAGTAACGCGGGGATTACTAATGAGATATGAAATCATTATTCACATGTTTTGCCTTAAAAGTTGCATTTTTTAATTATAATAAAAGTACATTAAGTGGCAGAAAATAATAAAATATCCAGAATACTTTATTTTGGAACAACACACCAACAGTTATGTACATTATTAATGATGAAAATCTTCTTTTAGAGAATGAAAATTAGGTTAAAAAAAGAATATGACATAGATGTTTTCATTGAATCAAAAAGTCATTCAACAATTGAAACTGTCTGACGATCCCGACTTACGACAGCAGCTTTGCAGTATACTTCCTTTTGAAACATCCAACTATAGCTGTTATCAAACACGATGATGTCTGCAAAGAAAATTGTTATTGTAAGGTTAAATTAAATTTAAATGTAAATAATAAAAATATTACAGCTTGAAATGAAACTTTCTAATACGGAACACGTAGTACGCATTTGTTATCCATAGCCATTTTCAAATTGCAAATATAATTTATTCTAAAATACTTAAATAGGTAACAGTGAATGAAACTATTTAAGGAAAACACTTTAAAAAGCTTAACAAATACTTCATTTTAAAAAGAAAAATATTGAAAAGTTGAAACAGTGAATAATGCTGAAAGTTAAGAACATACCAGTGGCACGTACTTGTCATTACTGACAATAGCTAATTGTCGAATAAAAAGTATTGTCAATTATTTGCTGAATTCTTTTTTAACAGTTAATATCTGATTTCTTATATGCTAGAAGTTGCAATTCAATGAAAAGCAATAAATATTTTCCTTTTTTTACACTAAGGGGCTTTACTTCCTTTTATAATAGTCATTAAAGGTTTTTCAATGAACAAATATTTTAAAAAATGACACATTGACAATTTATTTTACAGTTTACAATTTAAAAAATTTCCTTGTTTTAAAAAAATATTCTGTGTTTTTAATATAAATTTCTGTACGAATTGGATGTTTGCTCTTATGTCTGTAGTTAGAAAGAAGAAACATTTTCGTAAACAGCTGTTATTTTATTTTAAGTTGATAGTTTTCTTAAAGATACTACAGACGGCTAGATAGGATATCAAATAAATATTAATAAAATGTTAATAATATCTAAATATTAATTTAAATACTCAAAGATATTTTTAGATACCAAAATTACGAATGTTCACGTAAACACTTCACTTTCATTTCATTATATTTCATCATCATTTATAAGGAAATTCGGATTTTTATATAGTATATATATATATATATATATATATATATATATATATATATATATATATTTAAATTAAAATATAGGTCGGTCTATAGCAAGGTCTAAGCATTAGTTATTAAAAACCGAATTACAAACTATTTAATTCACAACAGCTTGTTTATTCACGTCATAATATCAAAGATTTTAATATTGGTTAAAACATTTTATTATATTTTGTCACTCTATGCAGTGTATTCAATAAAGTGTGGTTCACACATCTAAAGGAGCGTCTTTTTATGCATATTTGTTTATAATGATCCTGATATTACTACATTGTTCTGTTATGTATAAGAGTTGGTAAATTCGTTTTATGGATTATTCAGAAGCAGAAAAAGGTTTCACAAGTATATAATAAAGAGGAAGTGCTGAGTATATCAAACATATAACTGTAGCAATTTTCTGAATATTGGTTTTGCAAGAACTTCACGCGTGGCAGCTTTTCTTTTTTAAAACCAGATGTGTTTCACTCGCGTGTCATGGTTCCATCGAAATGGGCACGCCTGTAATGGATATTATCGAACGCGGAGCTCTGGAACTGGTATATGTTTATGGAGTCTCCTTTAAAAATTTCCGAAATTGTCGTTTGGTGTTCCACGCCAAAGAGACATATTTTAAGGCTCCTGTCATTTGAAACAAACATAGATACTAAGAATTACCAAAATAAAAAATCTCCTGCATGCATTTATTAACGTATTATTACAAGAGAATGAGCATGTTTCCTGGATGTTGCAAAGTGGTGCAAAATGTGATACAGTAGATTTTACCACGAAGATGCTGGACGAGTGTTTTTAATGTAAAAGCTATTACCATTGATATAACCAGCTCTTACCAGTCTATTTTACTGTTTGTGAGGTTGGTTAAAACAAAATTTGAATTTTGTTCATAAAACATTCTCCCCCCCGCGTCGGAAGATTTGAAATTGAATACCACTGTTGAATACCAAACTCTAAACAAGGAAAAGCCTCAGAAGGCCTCCAAGAATATAGAAAACGTTAGTGAAATACATCCAACTAAAGATATGTCATATCCAAAAAAAAAAAAAAAAAAAAAAAGTTATATCTCACAAATATATATACTTACTGCTTCTGCGATGAGGCTACTTTAAATTAAATGTCCTGTACAGAATGAGATTTACATAATTTAAAATCTCCAACTATTATGTGCCATTTGTTCTATTTTATGGAACTGACTTCCCATTATACTCAATATACTCTTTGTATTCTTCTATGAGCTAGATCAGGGGTTCTCAATTTGTTCTACGTGTAGCCCTAGGGCTACGAGACGGCTTAAACAGAGGTTCGTGAAAACATTATCAGCAATGGTGAAAAACAACACAGAATTGTAATAAATGCTGATAGAAAGCAAAGTATTTAAGAAATTCTCATTAAATAAAAAGGAAATAACTTTCCATTTTGATTGATTGATTCTTGAAGGCCGTCTTTTTAAAAAAGGGCGCGTTACTTCATTTTTGGAGGACAAAAGTATGAATACATTAAAATGCTTTTTTTTTTCGTTTATAAACACTGAATGCATGGCAAGAAGACTCTTAACATATATCTGTACTTAAAAATAATTATCGTAACAAACGGAATTGTATTCCTAATTTTAGATTTTATCTATTCAAATCTAATCCTGACTTGCATAGTCAAGTATCATATCCGTAAGACGTGGACAACAATTCAAGACTACCTTACAAACATTGTTTTAAATGATATCGTATTATTTAAATGATTTCGTATTGTGTTCAAATGTAACAATTTTTTAGATAAATAATATGATGTAACATTATTAGTTTTGTGTTCAAGTGTAATGACAATCAGCGTTTTTCTTACGGGTCGAGTGCTTAGGAATATTTTTGTCAGAGATCTAGACTTAATTAGTAATTAATAAATTCTTAAATTCGCTTCTTTTCACACGTATTGTTTCAAAAACTGATACTGAGTATATTAATAATAGTATACATTTATTTAAAAGAAAAGTGTTAGTGTTGCGTTTATTTCGAAATAAATAATACAATTATTAGTTTGTTTGATAAAATTAATATTAATCTGTTTGATTATATTTTTCTGTCCTAATTCCTTAAAGTATACAAATTTTATGGTAGTAATATAATACTGTACTTAGGTATACTAAGATAATACTGGAGGGGAGAGGGGACTTATGGTTTCTAACGAAAGGTTTGGTACTCTATAATCACAAATTCTTATTGAGGGCTTAAGGTATACAGGAAAGAAAAGAAGACTGGGACCGCTGGCTTAGATTAACCAATTAATTCTGTTCTAAAGATAGCGATATTTTTGTTTGCATCGAATAAATACCATATTATTGCTAACGATCACTAAAATCACAAATACTGCCATTTTGGATTTTGAGAATCTAATCGATAGTTTTAATTCAAGAAGTTTAAATTTAAATAAAAGGTAGTTTTTAACAGATATAAATTAAAATCTTACAGATTCCAGGCCTTTCACATTTATACATGCCCATTTCTGAGGACATGTATGTATCAATCCTTTGCTTCGGTATAAGTTCTTTGACCTTGGAATTGTCCATATTGTCTTCTTTATATAGCAGTGAGAAGCCAATATCCTTACTCTTAGTTTCGAATTCCCATTCGACGTATGAACCAGGTTCGGTTACGGTCATGATGAGTTCTACTTTAGACATTCTTGTTACAGTATATTTCTTGATTCCAGGGAGTTGAGAAAATTGTTTGCTTGATCTGCGAATGTAATAGCGTTCTGGAACCAATCCACCATAATTTATCTACAGGAAAGCATTAAACAGACAAATAAAATTTATCCGTGATATACTTAACATATTAAAATTAAAAACAGAGAGCTAAATGTTAACTGTAGAAGATAACAACTTGAACGCTTTTATATTTAGGAAGGGCTCTGCTTTATTTATTTGATTTAAGAAATACATTTGGATTTATATCGTTATACCGGGTGATCAAAAAGTCAGTATAAATTTGAAAACTTAATAAATCACGGAATAATGTAGATAGAGAGGTAAAAATTGACACACATACTTAAAATGACATGTGTTTAGTGTGACATGTGTCTAAATGTTTTATTAGAACCACAAAAAAAAAAGTACTGTTATCGGGCCTTTTTTCTTCGAGGAAATGCGCGATTCTGATTTTGTAACTGCTACCGTGATGGGTGAGAGGTACGCCGACATGTTACAGAATCGCATCGTGCCCAGCCTGGCTGATAAACACCTGCTGAACGTACGATTTTTACGCTACTTTCGTCATGCTTGGCCTCCCAGGTCCCCAGACCTCAGTCCGTGCGATTATTGGCTTTCGGGTTACCTGAAGTCGCAGCTGTATTGTGATCGACCGACATCTCTAGGGATGCTGAAAGCATCCGACGCCAATGCCTCACCATAACTCCAGACATGCTTTACAGTGCTGTTCACAACATTATTCCTCGACTACAGCTATTGTTGAGGAATGATGGTAAACATAATGAGCATTTCCTGTAAAGAACATCATCTTTGCTTTGTCTTAATTTGTTATGCTAATTATTGCTTTTCTGATCAGATTATTGCTTTTCTAATTATTGCTTTTCTAATAAAACCCCATGTCATTCTAAGTATGTGTGTCAATTTTTACCTCTCTATCTACATTATTCCGTGATTTATTAAGTTTTCAAATTTATACTGACTTTTTGATCACCCGGTATATAATAGTTTCATGTATGTTTAAAGTATCTAAAATGCTATGTTTGCCTATGTAATAAATAAAACAAATTAACTGTTTTCGAATTACAAAAATATTTTATCAAATAAAAATGAATAATATATTGCATTGTGATTACCGTAATTTCCGGAAGAAACGCCGCGGCGTTTACGTGTTTAAAACTTAAATTTTCAGCGGGTGCGGCGTTTAGGTGCACTAAAAATAAAATATTTCCTATGATGGTCATAGTACATAGTTTGGATGGCCTTGTCATTGTGCATAGACTGGTGCTGTTCCCACACAAAAGACCACTCAGTTGCTTTTTGCGAACGTTATTTTGTTTTCATTCTTTCCCTTGAACGGACCTACATGCCTTATTCACCCTAAACGAGATCTCAGAACAATAACATTCTTCCCCCTTTCAAATCAACATTCTCATCAGTTTGAATAGTCTCTCTCCTCTGCCATTCGATGAATCTTCCAGGACCCATCCTCTCCCCACCCCTGCCTTTTCTGCAATTTTTTTCAAAGACGGACACGACTCCACCTGCCTCGAAATAACGAACTCTGACGTATTTCCCCTTCAGCATGAATGGATTTTTCTTGGCATTCTGCCAAATACAGATCCCATCAGTTTGGGTACAAGTACTTGTTGGATAGTTTTTAATTAGGGAGCGGACAATTTTTGAAAATGTCTCTAAACGGCACAGAAGCTATACATTTCTTACCTTTAATTTATTTTTGAGTTATGGTTTCATTTCATGCTTTTTTCTTAACTGGTATGTCATATATCAGAACTTAGGTTGAGTTTTTGCATCTATACGGCCCACGACGATGTCACGCGCAATTTAATCTATTGCGGCGTTACGCTGATACGGCGTTTCTGTGTAATTTTAATTTTTTTCCCGCCATTTTTCCTCGAGTGCGGCGTTTACGCTGATGCGGCCTTTCTTCCGGAAATTACGGTACCTGCAATAAATGTTCTGGCTTTAAATTACATGCAGATGAGCATAATTGCAGTACAAAGGTAAATTAATTTAGTCTGTGAAATGTATATGATAAGCTAAAAATTAATTATTCTTCATAATTGTACAAAATATTATTCTGTTACCTAAATTAATCCACACATGAGAATTAAAAAATGTTTGATTACTACATGTCTATAACAAAAGCAGAGACTGATTATGAATCTCACTGATGATGACTACAAGAAATGACTATTTCATATATTCGAAATCTAACAGGTGCCCCTTATTGTTAAAGATTATGTCAGAACTTACAAAACTTGTTGTTGCAATGAATAAACAAAAGATCCAGAAATACTTACAAATGTTTTACATGCTGGATTTCCATCAGGATCAGTGCGCGTACCACCGAGAAAAGCAGGCAAAACATCAGCATCAATACTTTTTAGCAATGCTTCTTTCCATCCATCTACAAGAAAAAAAAAAAAGTAAGCATAATGGCATTTTCATTCGTACTCATGCTTCGATACTCAAAAGACGTGCTGATATTTAAATTCTAACTTTTTAATGTTATATTAAGAATGCGTCTGCATCTTGCTGCCACTTAATATAGTGCCAATGGGAAGTTTCAAGCTGAGAACACTTGAAGTTCTCGACTGCCAAAGAATGTAGAAATTATAAATAACTAAAGAGCTTAAGTGAAAGAAACTGTGCCATTAAATCGTAATTTTACAGGAAAAAGGAATATTGCTTGTAATAACATGATATCTAACAAGAAACTGTTCAAACGTATATGTATGTCTCATGAAATTACACTCACATTATCAGATATTGGATGCAAATAGTTAAGAACTAAGCCATTTCAGATGATTTTAGGTGAGAGTAATAGAATGAAGACTTGACACATATACTCTTTAGACTTGTAAAATGGGGTTTCAAGTATTTGTCATAAAAATCCCATATTTCAATACACGTTGCTAGACTGAGGTGCAATCGATATTTCTAAGCTCGTTATAGTATGGGGATGCATTCTGTTCCCAAGTGAACTATTAATTGTATAATTTTTACTGGTAAGCTAGTAAACGAGAAATAATGTTTGAAACTTTTGTGTATCCTGATGAGCAGGGTGATCATAAATAACTCGACGATCTCATGAAGACATCGGGAGCACAGAAAGCGAGAAGGAATCCCTTGCAGCTTTTACGGGACAGTGCATCGGGATCACAAAAAGCGAGAAGGAATTCATTGCAGCTTTTACAGGATAAGTCAGGGTGATACGCGCTTGCGAGGATAACAGTGGCAGATTACTTATTCTAGTTGAAAATAATGTGACGGTATCTTGAAAATTTTCAGTGAGAACACCAGGATTTAACCATGGTATGAGGTTTTGTATTACGGTAAAAAGCACAAATTGTGTGCAAAGCAGTATGAGTAAAACAAAAAATAACAAAAATATTTCTCAACTATTGCTTTCTGAAACGTGAGAGTTAAAATAAACATGAACCGAGAAAGAAATAAAAAAAAGTTCCGTAAAAGTGATGAGAAAATATTCAAGTATAAAAGTTACAAATATTTTATATGTTCTTCGTTGTTATCTACATATAACTTGATTTGCCCCGTCTAAAATTTGCGTGACAGTGGTTGGATGCGTGGTTAAACACGTGCGAAGATTTGACTGGTCGTCAGATATGCTACCTGCCAACACTACAAGGGCTCGGACCCTTATCTCTGTGGACCAACCACACCAGACGGAATTCAGAATTATATACTCTCTCCTTACCGAAGGAACACCACCCTCTCCGGTGGGCAAACCGCCTGGCCAAGTACAGAGATATTACCTCTCTCCTCACAGGACAGTAGTCTTTGCCAATGCCTCCCGCAGTCCAACCATATAAAACGACCTTTCTTTCGGGTTTCGAAACCGGCAAGTTCATGAAGTTTATACCCCCGTGGCCGAGATTGCCTAGTTACACTTAGCCAGTAGCTTCACAGAGTTTTCTGAGTCGATCCCCGGGGGGATAAACTAAATATAAGACAAAATTCACGTTAGCATGATGCATATCAGCTGGAAGATAGCCTGTATGTTTCTCAAGATGCTTTTCATCGAGCTATTATGTACACAGAATTTATTCCGGTGAGTCATGGAGCCAAACCGTACGTAATCTTCCCAGACCGTTTATACACTTGCAACAATTGCAACAAGGAAGGATATGACGAACGTCAAAATCGCATGAAAAAAGAGGTTGGGATATGCAAATGGTTAGCATTTCAGCGCATTAAGACGACGCAGGAGGGAGAAACGACATTCGAAACACTGCATAAAAGAAAAGCTGTGTAGTTGATTTCTCATTCGGAATCTGCTTTGTAAGGTTGGAGTTTGCTCAGAATATCGTGTTATGCTTCGAATAAGCTTGGATTGCTGAGGGTCATACTGAACGGCATACAGGATCTGAACGCCCTCTTATGATTATCGCCAGACAGGACAGATATATTGGGAGGTCATCCCTGCAAAACCGTACGACCATATCACGGAGCATTAGTCAGGAAATGGGCATGTTTGAACCACGCCCAGTAGTATCAGCTCATAAGGGGCGTCAACGTTTGCAGCAGCGTGGACTATCAGCAGGGTGATCATTACTTCGGTTTCCCTTGACAATGCAGCATAGAGAGAGACAGAGACTAATAGTTCAAACGACAAAGCTGGGTAGAGGAGTGGCATAATGTCGCCTTTTCAAACGCATTCCGGTTCTACGTGCAGTATTATGATAGCTGTATACGTGTCTGGAGTGTTCGAGGAGACCGCACATGACCTGCTTGCATTCGATATCGGCATAGGGGCCCTGCACCTGGTGTGATGGTTTGGGCAGCCATTGGGTTCACGACACGCACATTTCTAGTTCAAATCGACGGTAATTTCAATGCAGTTAGGTGCATTTCTGACATTTTACGTCCAGTGGTTTTGCTCTGTCTTCTCACCTTCCTCGATACACAGGGTATTCGATTGCTGCCCTGGCGTGTATGGTCTCCAGATCTGTCACCCATTGAGAACATATGGTCATGGATTGCTGACAGACTGGCCCGCCACCCCTCTCCAGCTATGAAGGTTAATGAAGTGGGGCATAGACTTGAAGCAGCATAAAATGAGTTGCCCATTTCTGTCATCCAAGCTCAATTTGATTCCATGCCTAATGGGGTTAAGGGCCGTTTTAGCTGCCAGGGGTGGCAGCTGTTTCTAATAATTTCGCATCCCTTTAAACCTCCAAAATGCTTACAAATTTAATCATTTTGTCTTCATGCCATACTGTTTACGTGCAATAAATATCTTTTTTGTACTTTCTTTCCTTCATGGTGTTGACATTTTAATGGCCAGCAATGTGGAACAAACTCGGAAATTACGAGAAACCACACTTAGTTTCTTAAATTGTTTTATAGATACCTTTAGCGGATTAAATTCTTTAAGCAACGGGAAAATATAGAGTAAATGATGCAATGAACGAAATGATCTTGAAAACATAGTTTCATACTGATAATCACATGCAGTGGTATGCACGCTACACGTAACTAGCATTCTGCAAAACAGGACGGACTCAACTGTGGAATCACATGCGTGGACAATATTAATGCATTGTTCCTGTCTATGATATTGAATGACGTGTAAATTGTGGCAGATAATTTCCGAAAAATCTGGGATCTAAGCATAATTCAGCGTGTCTGCAATCCGCTGCAATTCTGCAACGTGGTCTAAAAGTAATAACGATTAGTGTCCGAGTAATAAAAAAAGTTTTTTCTTGTTTAGCTTCTTGGCATAAATTATGGATCTGATGATATTTGCACAATACTTTCGTAACAATCTTTCAAGTAATACGAATGAATTCCTAATAATTGCAACTGTAAAATTTTCTTAGTTCTTTTCCCTGAAATGCGTAACCAATGTAGAAAATATGGAAATTAACGAGTGAGAGTATATGGTTACACGGAGAATACATGGGTAATTTCTAAGATCGCCTGATATAGCTCTTTCTTGCTTAAATCCCTTTAAAGGGATTTAAGCAAGAAATGACTGACTTATGAAATGTCATTCTAATGCTCTTTCCCTATACCAGAGGGAGGTAGTTTGGAAAGAAAGTTAAAAAAATTCACCCTATAGGAAATTCTGAAGTATGACAAACTGCCCAAAATTCCTATGGCAGAAACATAGGGCTTTTGCAGCGTTCCTCGTGGAGTTGTCAAGTAGAAACAACCCATCCAAATCTGGCGAAAAGAAGCAGTACTGATCAAGCATAAATAGAGTACTAATACTGAAATACTTCTGAATAACGCATTTAATACTTGAAGTACACTCACTTTGTTCAGCTCGGCAGATGCATTTATACTCCATTTACGGTACTATCAACCCATGTGTGAATATTGAATAGATGTTTTTAATGAGTTATTGGCTTGCTTGTTTTCTTTTGTTAAAGAATATATCTCTGTTGCTTTCCCTTATTAAATCTTTCTAACGCCTTATGGGTTTCTTCGTCACGCAGAATCCCGTGTCATTATGAAATCGTGCTTTACTTAATGTTATAACTTTCCTTTGCCTGACTTTTGTTCTTAAAGAGTTCTAACAGTCCAAACAAATATGCATCGTATTTGTTTGGACTGTTAGAACTCTTTAAGAAATGGGTTGTAATCTTATTGCCAATGGAATATTTTAAATATCTTTCGTTTCTATTCTTCATCAAGTATAATATATTTGCAAATATTTAGCTGACAGTATGGATCTTTTAGATAAGGAAGATTGGTTGTTTTTTTGTTCATATTGTTTAACAATGTTTCGTAGTCTTTTCCTTCCATTATTCTTTCACATACGAAAATTTAACAATATTTTCCTTACGATTGTTTTGCATTTTCTTTGGAACATCGTTATCTACTACTTACGACTTGAAAAGCATATGGTAGTTTAAATAGTTGATTAGCAGGAAACAACAGTGGAAAGTAGATCATAGTTTAGATTGTTGAACGCAGCCGGAAAATGAGAAACGTTGACATTTAAGCAGTGATTTTAGTGACATGAGACTCCTCTGCTCCGCAAATATGCAGTGTCATTAGGATTCAAGTTTTTATACTTTTAAATAACAGGTATACGCTATTGTGGCAACAATTCTTATATATAGTAAAATATATCAGAGGCTAACTGATTATGAAAACTTAAAATCAATATATATGTTCTCATACATTTCTTTTTCACAAGGTGCTTCAGTTACAAATAAAGAAACAATATGCGGAATTTTTCGAAACTTTGGTTTGAGTGACTGTTATATTTGAGAGAGATTTCATATTATTACAAGTAGCAAAGACGAACCGAATAATCGTTTTAAAGAATGATCTTCAAACGAAACGTACAATAACATTCACAGTCAATTTTACAGTTTCAAGAGCAAAAGCAATCGAACTTCAAGGGAAAACTTGCAAAAACATTTTCAGTGACTTTCTAAATTTACACTACAAAGTTCGCAATAAAATTCAAGAATTCCAATCACTTTATTTGAATTAGAGTAGTAGTAATTCAATTTAGGACTACATGGTGCGCCAAAATAATCTATCCCGTTTCAAATAATTTTATTTTTGAAATTTACGAACACAGAGAGAATATTAACGGCTGAAAGGAAAGGAGTTGTATGTGACTCCTTTTAGTTATACGATAGACGATAATGATATCCCTGTCACAATTACTCCAGCACATCCTTTTTTATCACCTTCGCAGCAACAGTTATGGGCGTTTTGAGATCATGCCTGCTAATGAAGAATGATAGAAAATAACACCAGAGCATCGTAAACAAGTCCCCCCTAAAAAGGAAAAGAAAACTATATGATTAGAGACGCAGATTAAAAGGAAAACTGTAAAACTAAATCAGGTGTTTTAATGAGATTGATTCAATACATTAAGAGCAGCACTTGATCAAGAAAGCTTCGCCAGCACTTTATTGACGTTCGAAAAGTTTGAGATTTCCATTTTTTCATTTAGTATGTATCAAACTAATAATACTAAAAATGTATGGCATTATGTTCATCTAAAAATGGCTGATCCATTTTAAATCACCATGTAATAAAAATGTAATTTAAAAGTTTAATTAATAATGGGATGTTACGTCAGAAAAAATAAGTATTAATTTTTAATTAATTAAAAATTTGTAAGTGATATTTCCCAAGTATTTTCAGCAAACAGTTTAAAAACGAAATGTAACTTTCGATAGTTTGTTACAAAGTATTTAAATTGCTTTAACATTTAAAAACACACATAAATTTATATTCATACCTCTTCCAAATATGTTGATTTTCTTGATCGTTGGACCAGATAAGAAAGGTTTGATCACAGAAAATGCTAATGTGAAGTAAAATTGCGCTGAAATATAAAACAAAATTCAGCTATTACATAAAAAGAAGTTTCGAACAATCCTCTTATTCTGAAACATTTTGATAATTTACTTGCAATTTTAAGCATTTTAATATTGAGGATAGCTGAACTTGGTTATGTAAATTAAATACTCTTTTAAAACAAGAATAAGCATTTAAGAATAGAAAAAATCATTAATATTATTTTTATATTTTGATAGGAGTCAATGAAAAACAGAAAATTATTGGATGTACATATAATAAATTTTCACCATTTAGCAATTTATTTTTAGAGGATGATTTAATAATATTTATACTCGCATATTTCGAATTATATACAATTAAATTACTGCTGTGAATGAAAAGCGTTCTTAAATAGCGGTGAATCGTCTGTTGTAATTGCTATTATCGAACGCATTTTCTTCTTTTTTATATTTCCCATGGACGTTTTGTTTTATTCTGGTGTTAATAAAAGCAAGTTTTCCATCGTTCAGCAATTAACAAACTTAACCCTTTTATTCAAGGCCTAGTTAAACCGCAATCCAATTACTCCGTCTCCGGTTGATCGCGAAATGACTGTAACACGTAAATAGAAAAACAGTGAGTATTTTAATATATGTACGTTAAAATACAAGGTTGTTATTGCGATTTCGATTGTCACATTGGCGTGTTTCTCTTCTATTCACGTAAATAGAAGTTTTAAATTAAAAAAAAAGATGAATATCATTATAGATTACTATAACTTGATCATTTCATAATGCGAAATCTGGTGAATATCTACAAGCAAAATTTAGCAAAGAATGTTTTAAAGCGAAACACAAAACATTGTCTTGGTCGCGAATAATATTAACAGTACTTTATCATATAAATTTACTAAACAGTTCATAGAAATATATCAATAAAATTTAATTTTAACTCAGCCAGTAAGAAATTAATTTATGATGCGCGCATTTAATAATGTGAGTAACTAAAAGTACTCTTCCAATATGCGTTTCGGTACAGTGTTAACAAATCCAGCTAGAAAACTGGAAGCTTTCGAGTTTTCAATTTGCGCGAGGGCATGGTTAATTATCAAGACTTTCACTCTCTCTGTGTCAAAGGAAAAAGAAATAATCACTTCATAAGGAAGTCTGAACTAAAATGGAAGCGGACGGTAACTCGACATTTTTTTCGCTTTGTAACGATCAAGTTTGATCTCCTCTCTCAAGCTCTATTGGAGGTAGGAAGTAAGACCTCCATGTCAGTCCAAGTCCTTTCTTACCTTCATGTCAAGCCCTCTTTATACTCGGGGGGGGGGGGGGGGGGGATAAGGAATTTAAAGTATGCCTTTCTTTTCGTCATGGCATACATGTCAAAGAATCTAGCGCAGGATATGCAGGAGCAACAAACTCTTTGCCGGATTGAAAATTATGTCAGCTTCGGAATCATTTTCAGTTCTGTATCTGTATCGATCCTTTTACAGGTATCTAAATATAATAATTCAAAGAAATTCGTCCGGTTTTGATTTTATGCCGTTGCTAATCAAAAGTCTTATCTACGGATGAGACATTTTCAATCGTATGCTAGGTGCAGTCTTAACGCAGTGTCGATCCTATGCTAGGTTCTAGGCAATGCTGATTCATATCTGGGCAATTAACTCTGCACTGCGTCGGTATTATTCCGTTGTCTACCTTATTATACTCTGTCGATCGTACGCCTCTGATGATTTTGCTTGTGATAAAACCTGGTTTAATCTTCTTGCTTATTTAATACATCATTTTTTTGTGCCTGCTAATGTGCTCCTTGAAAAGTTTTACACCTCTCGTCTCTTAAAACAAATATATAATCATTCTTTCCGACTTTACAAATTACTTCTAGTATTCAATAGCTTCTTGATTTTCATAAATGGATTACTTATCTTAAATTCTCACTTTTCTACAATTTTTATCAAATTTAAAAATAAAATTTTCTTATAAATTGATGGTATTCAGACTATGAACACCAAATTTTCAACATCTATTTGCAACGTTTTTCGGGAGAGCGAAGTGCAAAAATTTAATTCTGTGAAAAATGTGATCAAATTATACATTTATGACCTTATCACTTTCAATAATTTGGAGTTAATTAAAGCAGCTAATATTTGTCCCAAATGTTTTGAAACTTATTTCAACTAATTACAATGATAACGAAATTCATTATCTTGGCATTAAAATTCTCAATTGTTAGTAACTAAACTTTTTGTAAAAAATAAAAGACTTTTTAACTTTCCTTAAATTAAATTCCTACATTGAAACTCCAGTATTTAAAAAAAGTTATTGCTAACACTATTATCAACCATATTTTAAAATATTTTAATATACATAACGCACGTGTAAAATAATTTGCACTACACTTAACAATTAATCAAGAAATTAAAATCCTAAAATCATATTTATTATTAATCAAATTCCTGTCAATTTTATTAACTTACTTCCCCACAAAGCAGAAAGTATACATTACGTCAGGGGTTCTCAACAGGTGGTACGCAAAGAAGCAAACTATTTTTAATTATTTAATTCAAAAATTAAAACCCCATCATCCTGATTGAGTTTTTTTCTCTAACACTCGTAAATTTATGCGATCTGAGCTTTGTTCAAGAGTGGTGGTGGTAGTAGTACTTTGTAGTGGTGGTGGTACTAAAGGTTTTAAATTTTTGTTTAGATGGTACGTGTTAGTCAAAAGGTTGAGAGCCGCTGCATTACGTCCTTTTAATTTTAATGTGTTGTTACTTATACAATATACTTAAACCAAATTTGGAGGTATTTACTGGAAGCATACAATATAGTTAGAAATTTGTCAATAATATTCCTATATAGTTTGTAAATATAGTTAGAAATTTGTCAATAATATTTCTATTTCTTTTACTAACAAATGGCCATTTCTATTCCAGTTCTATTAAATGCCAAACAGCTGAAGTTGTTTTACTGTAAACTCACTTTTTTCCTCTTGAAAGCGTTTGCTACTCCCATCGCCCTTCTTATCCAAGGTTCTTTTTTAACTAAATTTTTAGATACACTTAAAGAATTTAATACGCATAAAAATAATTTACTTCCGTTTTTTTCAATTAATTAGTTAATTTTAAAATTTCTTTCCCAATTTTTACATTTTTAATAAATATTTTTTTTAAATATCAAATATTAAAAAAATAATTTGCTTAATTATGCGAAATTAATGACAATGGATGTTCGTACATTTTTTAAACGGTTTTCATTGTTATTGCAGAAATATTTTACCTAAAATTTTTATGTTTTAAATGTTCCATTTGCTAACCCTTATTCTTCACTATCTTTATACACCATAATTTCCAAGACAATAAAGCCTTTTCTAGTATCGGAAGAGGTATTTTATCCCATCGCTCTCGAACAGCTTTTCAAAGTCTAAGGAGGTTGTAAGTCGACGCTTGGCCGACCCGCTTAAGAAGCGGTCCAAAAGCGTCCAAAAGCGCAAAAATACATTGTTGATAGATCAGGAGATTTAATAGGGCTATGAGTGAAGGGTATGGCTTTGATACCCGTTTCTTTTCCATTTTTTCACACAAATTTAACAGTAGATTTTGACATGTCGCTAGTTGTATTGTCTTGATAAAATTCTATTGATTGATTCAAAAGAATAAATTGAATTTAAATAAATTAAATTTAAATAAAAGTTTAAACAAATTTAAATTTTAACAAACATTAAAACATAACATACGTAAAAAAAACCTACGTTTGTAACATACGTAAACAAACAAACATACGTAAAAGAGCAAATTAAAGTTAAAATAATTAAAAAATGTGCAAACATATAAAAGATTTAATTTTCGAACTAATCTACAATATCATTTTAAATTCAGATAGCATAAGTAAATCAAGTGCAAAACCAAACCATGAAAATAAATTCACCAATTTAGCAAATTAAAATTAATCTAATTTTTTTTTTAAAAAAATGCATTAGTGAATGACTGTTGAGCAGGCAGAAGACAGACTTATCAAGGAGAAGTTGCCTCCAAACCTAACTCTTCAATCATTCAGTTCGTGTTTCGTCATTCATGAAGGCAAGGATAAAAGTCAAAACCAAAAGTAAAGAGTGAAGAATGTCCAAAAAGAAATACCAATAAAGAGAAGGTATTTTATATTTGAAATTTGGGTATAAAATATGTTTTTGATAATATGTGCAGTTGATCTTAACATTTTTATCCTTTCCTTTTTATCTTAATTTGCTGTTACATGAAAAAACATGAAAAACCAGCAACAATCATTAAATCTCTTAGAAAAATTATCTTTAGAATCCTTGAACCATGTTTTAAGATTTTTTTTTTTGTCTTGATGATAATAAATGGATCTCTTTTGATTGCAGTCATTTAAGTACACCCATATTATTCTACACTCATGTCCATAAATTAAGGATAATTCGGAGTCACGCGGAAATCGAAATCTAAAATAAATATATCACCTGTATAATCACTACACACATCTTCAAGAATCATATGCAAATTTCAGGAAGTAACCAGATGACACCGATGGTACGTCACAATGACGAGAGTGTAAGAGAGTGATATAAAAGGAATACAGGCAAAGAAGTAAAATTGTTCGCAGGCGCTTTATAAACATTTCAGTGCAATAACCGAATAGTTATGACACAAAGGACGCATTTGGATGATTTTTTACGTGGTAGAATTATCGGCGTTCTGGAATGTGGGCGTACCCAACTGGAAGTATCAGGCGAACTTGGAATTGCCCAAAGTGTCATCTCCAGGCTTCGGCAACGATTCCAAGATGAGGGTAATGCGAGTAGACGTTACAGCACAGGTCGCCCCAGAGTTACAACGCCGAATGAGGACCGGTATTTGGCAGTTACTGCCAAAAGAAACAGACGGACCACAGCCTCAGACCTATCTCGTCAGCTCTCTTCAGGCACTGGTACGACAATTTCAAGGCAGACCATGTACAGACGCTTAGGGCAGATTGGTCTATATGCTCGTAGACCTGTCAGATGCGTTCCACTTACTGCAAC